AAAATATAATAAATATTCATATTTATATTTAAACCTTCATATTTAAATATCAACATATTTATAATTAAATATGTTAAAAATCAGAACTGTGTAGCCAGAAAAAGTCAAATTTAATGAAAACATGTTTTGTTTTTGTTTCTTCCCCAGAGAACAAATTTAATATCTTAAAAAAAAAAAATCTTTAAAAATAAGTAAATGTCCATGAGTGTTGAAGTTGTACGTTTCAGGAGAAAGAGGCAGGAACTATTACAGTACACCTGGGTCTGGATCCCGGCTGGCCCACCGTGACCTTGACTTTCACCCTCCCCATGGCCTCGCCCTCTCTGTTCGCCGTTCCAGAGGCCGGACACTCACTGGAGCTGGTTAATGATCACCATGCGGACGTGCTCTCGGGCCTTCAGGATCTTCTCCAGCCGGTGGATGTCATAGGTGTTGGGGTTCCGGAAGGGGATGTCATCAGGCAGGCCCGTGACCTCCACCGCGTCTGGGCTGTCCCGGATTAGTTTATAAGGGACCAGCACCGGCCGGTTCAGGCCCAGGGCCTCACCTAGAGGGCACATGAAGTCACGGTGAGGAAAGATGTTTCCTGTCAACGGCAAAGCCCTCTAGGGAAAGGGCTGGAGTCTGGTCTGCCCCAGCCCAGCAGCCATCACACACAGAGAGTTTAAAAATCAAGACCCTGGCCGGGCGCAGTGGCGCACGCCTGTAATCCTAGCACTTTGGGAGGCCGAGGAGGATCACGAGGTCAGGAGATTGAGACCATCCTGGCTAACACAGTAAAACCTCATCTCCACTAAAAAAACACAAAAAAAGTTAGCTGGGCCTGGTGGCAGGTGCCTGTAGTCCCAGCTACTTGGGAGGCTGAGGCAGGAGAATGGTGTACCTGGGAGGCAGAGCTTATAGTGAGCGGAGATCGTGCCACTGCACTCCAGCCTGGGCAACAGAGCGAGACTCAGTCTCAAAAAAAAAAAAAAAAAAATCAAGACCCACAGGCTGGGCATGGTGGCTCACACCTGTAATCCCAGCACTTTGAGAGGCCGAGGCGGGAGGATCACTTGAGCCCAGAAGATCAAGACCAGTCTGGGCAACATGGTGAAACCTGTCTCTACTAAAAATAGAAAAATTAGCCGGGAGTGTTGGCGCATGCTTGTAGTCCCAGCTACTTGAGAGGCTGAGGCAGGAGGATCACCTAAGCCCAGAAGTGGAGGCTGTAGTGAGCGGAGATCACACCACTGTACTCCAGCCTGGGCAACTGAGTGAGACCCTGTTTAAAAAAAAAGAAAATCAACATACACAAAATGTGGGTCATGGGCAGAGCAGCCATGTCCCCAGGGAGCAGGCAGGCCAGCTGGGGGCTCCAGAAGGCGAGGCTGGCTGCAGAGGGAGGCCCCCCGCCCACCCCCAGGAGGAGGGCTTGGTGTGCTGACCCCGACCACAGCACTGACCGTATTTCTCGTTGAAGAGTTCCTTCACCTGCTCCCGCAGGATCACCTTTTCCCCGAGTCTGTTGGCATCATCTTCATCTACAAGAGGAAGACAAGGGGGCATGAGAGTTGGCACCGGCTTGGCCACTGGACCTGCTGCTTCTCCCACCAGGTGTCCCTGACCTGCCAAAACATTACATTCTCCGCAGGGCCCACCACTCCCACGCAGCTGTTTTTTTTTTTTCTTTTGAGACAGTCTCGCTCTGTTGCCCAGGCTGGAGTGCAGAGGCATGATCTCAGCTCACTGCAACCTCCGCCTTCCAGGTTCAAGCGAATTCTCCTGCCTCAGCATCCCAAGTAGCTCGGATCACAGGCACGTGCCACCATGCCCAGCTAATTTTTGTATTTTTAGTAGAGATGGGGTTTCGCCATGTTGCCCAGGCTGGTCTCAAACTCCTGGGCTCAGGTGATCCACCCGCCTTAGCCTCTCAAAGTGCTGGGATTACAGGTGTGAGCCACTGTGCCGGGCTGCAGCTGGTTTCTAGCCTCAGTTGTTGGTCTGTCCATCCATCCATTTTTCTTTTTTTGAGACACAGTCTTGCTGTGTCACTCAGGCTGGAAGGCAGCAGTGCGATCATAGATAGCTCATGGCAGCCTCCAACTCCCAGGCTCAAGTGATCCTCCTGCCTCAGCCTCCTGAGTAGCTGGGAATACAGATGTGTGCCACCATGCCTAATTTTTTAAAGTTTTTGTAGAGATGGAGTCTCGCTATGTTGCCCAGGCTGATCTTGAACTCCTGACCTCAAGTGATCCTCTTGCTTTGCTCTCCCAAAGTTCAGGAATTACAGACGTGAGCCACTGTGGCCAGCCCATCCCACATTTTCTTATCAGTGTTCCCAGCACAGGCCCTGTGTTGGGCACAAAATAACCTAAAAAGAAGAGGCAGGGCTGCTCCCCTGAGGGGCTCCCAACCAGAGGGGGTGTCATCTGGTCACCAAAGTACAACAGGACACCCTTAGGAGACAAGAGGCATGAATCAGGGTGCCCACCCTGTCTGGGAAAGTCTGGGGAGACCTCCCCCAGGAGAGAAGGATGCTTGAATGGGCTCTCAAAGCCTGACATGGTGACTCATGCCTATAATCCCAGCACTTTGGGAGGCAGAGGCAGGCAGATCACCTGAAGCCAGCAGTTCGAGACCATTCCGGTCAACGTGGTGAAACCCCATCTGTACTAAAAATACAAAAAGATTAGCTGGGCGTGGTGGCGGGCACCTGTAGTCCCAGTTACTCAGGGGGGGGTGAGGCAGGAGAATCACTTGAGCCTGGGAGGTGGAGGTTGTAGTGAGCGGAGATCACGTCACTGCACTCCAGCCTGGGAGACAGAGACCTGTCTCAAATAAAAATGAAAACAAACAAACAAGACACCAGGGCAGAAGGACCAGCCATGCATAGGCACTCAAGGGTGAAAGATCCTGTGTTGGCTGGGTGCGGTGGCTCACGCCTGTAATCCCAGCACTGTGGGAGGCCGAGACGGGCAGATCACCAGAGGTCAGGAGTTCCAGACCCTTCTGGCCAACATGGCGAAACCCCATCTCTACTAAAAATACAAAAATTAGCCAAGTGTGGTGGTGGGGACCTGTAATCCCAACGACTCAAGAGGTTGAGACAGGAGAACTGCTTGAACCTGGGAGGAGGAGGTTGCAGTGAGCCAAGATCGCGCCATGGCACTCCAGCCTGGGTGACAAGAGTGAAACTCTGTCTCAAAAAAAAAAAAAAAAAAAGGAAAGAAGAAAAAAAGAAAGATCCCGTGTCCCGGAAGTGGCTGAACTTTGGGGTGGTACAGGGGAGACGACTGATGGGCCTAGCGGGGTCTGGGCCAGTGTGACTGTGCTGGGCTGTTGGAAATCCCCTGACTGCTCGCTGGCCAAGGTCTGTGAATGGGAAACAGACCGTGTCTGGGAGTGTGGGGGCTGTGCATTCTCCCCGCTCACTGCCCAGGCAACCGTCACGGCCTATCTGCTGCTTGAGCCCTGGCGTGCTCTGCTGTCCCCTCCCTGTAGCCTAGAGGAGCTGCTGGGGTCAGTTGGCCCTGGAGACGGGGCCTGAGCTGGGCTGTAAGGCTGAGGGGTGGTTGGGCTGGAGATGGGGTCTCAGGCAGAGCTCTGCAGCAGCCCGTGGGCTTGTGCCAGGGTTGAGGACGGGGCTGGGATTGGAGGAAGGGTGGTTTGCATGTCCAACAGGAAATCTCCTCTCTGAGAAGCGTGGGGTCACATGGGCTGGGCCTCTGGGGCAGGCGGGTTGGGTAAGGGTGAGATGTTGGGGGAGTGGAGCTAGAGGCAGGCAGGGAGCCAGGGCCGGATGATGCAGGGCAGAGCAGACTGATAGGTCTTTAGAGCAAAATGACTCTTGTTTTTTTACTCTTTGTTTTTCCAAGACAGAGTCTCACTCTGTTGCCCAGGCTGGACTGCAGGGGTGCGGTCTCGGTTCACTGCAACCTCTGCCTCCCAGGTTCAAGCCATTCTCGTGCGTCAGCCTCCTGAGAGCTGGGACTACAGGCGCCTGCCACCACGTCTGGTTAATTTTTTTAATTTTAGTAGAGATGGGGTTTTGCCATGTTGGCCAGGCTGGTCTCAAACTCCTGAGTTCAGGTGATCTGCCCGCCTCGGCCTCCCAAAGTGCTGGGATTACAGGCGTGAGCCACCGCGCCTAGCCTGACTCCTGTTTTTTGAGACACGGTCTCACCCTGTTTCCCAGGTTGGAGTACAGTGGTGCCATCATGACTCACTGCAGCCTTGAGCTCTTGGGCTAAAGCAATCCTCCCCGCTCAGTCTCTCGAGTAGCTGGTGCTCCAGGCATGGATCACTGTGCCAGACTAAGTTTTTTAAATTTTTTGTAGAGAGAGTCTCTGTTGCACAGGCTGTTCTCCAACTCCTAGGTTCAAGCGATCCTCCTGCCCTCAGCCTCCGAAAGTGCTGGGATTACAGTTGTGAGCCACTGTGCCTGGCTCTTTTAATCTTGAAAACTCTGGGGGCCGGGCGCGGTGGCTCACGCCTGTAATCCCAGCACTTTGGGAGGCCAAGACGGGCGGATCACGAGGTCAGGAGATCGAGACCATCCTGGCTAACATGGTGAAACCCCGTCTCTACTAAAAAATACAAAAAAACTAGCCGGGCGAGGTGGCGGGCGCCTGTAGTCCCAGCTACTCGGGAGGCTGAGGCAGGAGAATGGCGTGAACCCGGGAGGCGGAGCTTGCAGTGAGCCGAGATCGCGCCACCGCACTCCAGCCTGGGGGTCTGAGCAAGACTCCGTCTCAAAAAAAAAAGAAAAAAAAAAAGAAAAAAGAAAACTCTGGGAAGAGCTCACTTGAGTTTAGGAGGTCACCTTAGGAACTGCATCTCCTGGGCTGGTGCTCTGTGCTGCTTGGAGTCTGCTGACCCCATCTGGGTGGCTTGGCCTCCTGTGCACAAGCTGCCAGAATGGAGGCCCTGTTCCCAAAGTGGGGGTTGCCCCAAAGAGCAGGGAGCTTCCCACAGGACAGAGGCTGGGCACCTGCTTGACCTGGTTCCTCCTTTTCCCAGGACTCCAACACCCACCACCTCAGGTCCTCCCAAACCCTGCAGGTCCCTGACCTGGTCCGTCCACACCCACACTCAGGAATCTCCGCACATCTCTGAGTTGCTGCATCTGTCTTCAGGCACAGCTCGCCAGCTCCCCTGGGTGCCCAGAGACACCACAAACATCAGCCATTCCAGACAACATCCTCCTCCCGTGTCCCTATCTCGTGGAGTAATGCCTCTAATTCAGCCACAGCAAGACCCCACACTCCACATCCCCTAGAATCCTCGCCTTCTCCTGTGGCCCAACACGGCCCTTCCTTTCAGGACTAGGATGTGGGAAGAATCAAGGCCACCCTTGTCTAAATCCCGTGCAGACCACTGTGATGGAGTCCTGGGCCCAAGGACCGGCTCCTAGAGCCTGCAGGGAAGCGATGGCACGTTCCATCTGTCCCCATGCCACTGAGGAATCTTTGGTGGCAGGATTCTCAGCAGGCACGGCTGTGCGTGCACAGAACAGAGAAAGGATGGCCTGGATCACACACATCACTGTGTGCAGATACTTTCCTAGACACTGCAGCCAAGGACACAGAGGCTCAGAGAGGTAAAGAAACTTGCCCAAGGTCACACAGCCCCTAAGCACCAGGAGTACTCTGTGTCGACCCCAAAGCCCTGGTCTTTCCACTCGACCATGAGCCCTGGATTTCCTGATGTCTCAGATTCCCCTACAGTTTCTTTCTTTCTTTTCTTTTTTTTTAAAGAGTCATGCTCTGTCCTCCAGGCTGGAGTGCAGTGGTGCGATCTTGGCTCACTGAAACTTCTGCCTCCTGGGGTTCAAGCGATTCTCATGCCTCGGCCTCCCGAGTATCTGGGAGTATCTGGGATGACAGGCGCCTGCCACCACAGCTGGCTGATTTTTGTATTTTTAGTAGAGATAGGGTTTCAACCATGTTACTCAGGCTGGTCTCCAACTCCTGGCCTTAGGTGATTCGCCTGCCTCGTCCTCCCAAATGGCTGGGATTACGGACGTGAACCACCATGCTTGGCCTTCCCTACAGTATCTGGAGAAAGAAGACTTAATCTTTAAGATGGTTTCCTCTAAATCTCTTGCTCTCGGCCCATAATGCCACGCCTCTGTCTTCTTCTGTGCCGGGACAGAGCGAGACTCAAAGAGCTCTACGAAGCCTGCAGGATAGAAAGAAGCTTAGCAGGTTCCTCAAAGACAAGGCCCAGGCCGGGCATAGTGTCTGATGCCTGTAATCCCAGCACTTTGAGAGGCCAAGGCGGGTGGATCACTTGAGGTCAGGAGTTCCAGACCAGCCTGGGCAACATGGTGAAACCCCGTCTCTACTAAAAATACAAAAAACTAGCTGGGCGTGGTGGTGAACGCCTGTAATCCCAGTTACTCAGGAGGCTAAGGCAGGAGTATCCCATGAACTGGGTGGTGGAGGTTGCAGTGATCTGAGATCGCGCCACTGCACTCCAGCCTGGGTGACAGAGCAAGACTCCATCTCAAGAAAACAAACAAACAAACAAACAAACACAA